AAATTTGCCAAAATTTTCAGATTTCCGTGTGATGGGCGATCATTTGATGAACACAGTAATTTGAAAAGCGCAGTAAATTAATTTGGAAAACTTTTGGAATGTAACTTATTGAAATACCAAAACAGACCTATAAATTTTATATCCAAAAACTAAGCTCTCACATAAGTTTTGCTATCGTCTTTACATTAACAGACTAGAGGTGCGCTAATAGTGATTATCTGTTATCGTACATAATCATAATATCCTTAATTAACCGATAAAATTTTAGAGTATAGATGCTAATTAATATATTTATGTTATTATACAAGGTTATTAAATCGTAATAGTGTAAAATGCCTCTTTTTTTTATGTATAGCTAATATTTTTTCTTATTATATTATATAGTAACGAATATTAAATGCCAATGGGGGTACCCTTAACCTTACCGTTACAGGTTTTTGCTGAATGTCACTCATGTACATTGGCCTTGTTAATTTTAATGGCGCGCCATGGTGCACCATTAAATTTTTATACGCAGTATTTATTAATGGTGCACCCATGGTGCACCATTAAAATTGCCTGCACCAGCAACCCTAATCAAGACTTTGTAGCCCCGTATGAGTTCTAGAGTAAATATAGTTATCAAAGCTAAAGGTCGCAATAAAGTAAATAAATATTTATTATAAATAACTTTTTAATTTCATTTATTGATTAGTGCATTGATCCCGCTTGAAAATGACATGATAATTTAATTAAAAATCGCGGTGATTCATGGATAGGCACCGTATTAAAATCTTGCATATAAACACATCTCGTTCTTATAAATAACTCATTCATCCATTCTTTGTTTAAAGATCAATTGATTTTTTTATAGTACGCTTTGCATTTTACAATACTCATTTTGTCACTCGACTAAGCATGGAACAATATATTTACTTTTCTGGTTATGGTATCACATTGAAATGAATACGATAACAAGAATCTTTATGATACATTTCTTGATGGAGGTCGATGTGAGCAGGATACCTTCCATAAAATCATTTCATCTATATAACTATATATAAGAAATGTAAATGCAAGTCTTAAATCCTTGAAATCGTACACATAATGGGGATCTTCACCTTTCAGTTCTTTCTAGATCTCTCGATAATCCATCGATAAGGGATTCTGTATGGTAGTATTGTGATATTATAGTTTCCAAGCTTAAATTAATGAATTCATCTTCGTCCGAATCGCTGTGTTAAAGCCGAAATCAATCATTTTCATATAAGCAATGGGGAATTGAGACATGCTCAGACAATAATTAAGTTACCACCTGATATCTATGTCCATAAAATCATCGCCTTTATTTTCAATAACGTCTAAACACAAAAGTGGATCAATTGAATTTTACATCTTTTTCATTACATATATACAAGACCATAAAAATGAGAGGGCAGAAATACCTTGATTGCATTTAAGCCCACTATGTAATTGCGATATATATTCCAACTGTTTAAAAAGATCTTCGATGATCTGTACACATTTTTGTGCTGCAATAAAAATGGAATAATAAGTTTATTAATAGATAATAGATAATAGGTGTTTATGTCAGACATACCTTCACCATTAGCTTTACCAACAGCTTGATCATCATCAAATATACATTTCAATGAATGATAAATAGAACGTATTGATCCAAATAAACTAGGTAGATTTGATGTAATATTTTCGTAAGCTTGCCTAACAAGTAATAAAAATGTTTGGTTTACATTATAAATTAATAATTATACGAGAAATTTTTATTAAATTGCGTACAACAAACTTTCTTTGAATAATTTGGTTTTTTTTATAATTTGTTGCTTTTGTTTTAAAGCTATTTTATGGGTATTGATCGCCGTTTTCAACCTGTAGGTAAATAATTAAACGCATTCATTATAAATTTTCATTATAAATGAGAATGTTAACATAATAAACCCTGGAAATGTGCCTATTTATTTCACGCCGATGATGTTCAGATTTTTGCTGCATAAGATTTACTTTTTGAGCAGAGTTTGGAATCATATTTAAATATTAGTCAATTCAACTTTAATCATATTTATTTGTTTAATCAATCATTTAATTAATCAATCAATCGGATCAAAATGAAATGAAGGTTTCTATTTAACCTTTTAAAACCTATTTATTTATACTTGTTATAGATTCTGAATTTTTTTCGGGATTTTGTTTGTCGGAATTCTATTTGTCAGGATTTTAACCCAAACCTTTCACGTTCAATGAATAAATGAGCTAGATGCTACAAAAAGGGACGAAATTGACAATTATTTTCTTATGATTTATTATAATTCAATTCTATATATTTTAAATAAAAATTCTGAACGAATAGTATAAAATATTAAGCTTTCGAAGAAATCTAAATTTTCTTCGTATTTCAAAAAGTTAGTATGCCCTTGTTGACGTCTTGTTTTTTTTTGATCAGGCAGATTAGACCAAATATTTATTTACTTTTAAAAAATTCACAATCAAAATTAGTTTCTTAGGACATTCGTTTATTATAATCGTGATATGTTACACCGTATTGTGATTTTCTATTGGTTAATTTGCTGTTTATCGTCACGTGGAGATGTTAGCAGGCCAATCATCTGTTGTATGGTGCACTTGCAAAGCGCATCTTTTCCATCAATCCGGTCTTTAATTTAAAATGATAAAAAAAGAATAAAATCTACATGTGAACTATAATATGTCAAAACTAGAAGTATTCGAATGTTCAATGAATTCAATGTATTGCATAGGACTTGTTCATGAACATTGAACTGAACCCGAACTGAACCAATAGTCATGTTCGAATCTGGTTCAGGTTCGGGTTCGAGATCTGCAAAATTTTTGGTTCGGGTTCAAGTTCAGGTTCGCGGAATACTGCATCAGGGTTTAAAATTGGCATGCACAAGATGCACATGTGCACGGTTTTTTTTTTGATTTTTTTTTGATTTTTAAAAAATCTCTTAAGTGTGCACGAAAATTTTTGCACAAAATACATTTGTGTATGTGATTTTTTTTTGAATTTTAAACACTGTACTGGATATACTGGATATACTGTATAGTACAAGTATTATGAAGGTTTTGTTATACAGTACTGCAGTATGAATATTGTGTAAAAAAGTAAATCAACTAAGAGTCCAAGTTAAATATAACAAAAATCGCAATAACAACTTAATTGCTTATACTATAAACTATACAGTATAACTAGAATCTTAAAAGAATAACTTAAAAGATAACTGATACAGTATTTGAATATACTGTAATAGCGATAGTAAAAAATATAGTGAACATAGTATTGCAAAAGCTATAAAAAGAATTGTCTAGAATATCTTTGACAAAAAAATTCTAATCTCAATAAAAGTTTTATTTCTATATATATACAGTAATGCTGTAATAACAATATATATATATGTAAAAAGTATATGATACTCTATGGGTAAAACTTTCATTTTTTGATACTTTTGCACCTACTTTTTTTGATACATCCAAATATACCCTAAAATTTCTATACATTTTACTAACTTTTACTATAATAAGGTGCAATTTTATTAGGTTTAGGGCATGTATCAAAAAAGAAGGTATAGAAATATCAAAATATAAGTTTTGCTTCTATGAAGACAAAGTTAATTTCATAACTTTCATGTGATAAATATTATTATCTTATATATCTTTATATACTTAGGTTGGAAAATACTAAAGCGACCATCAATCATTAAGACTCGTACAAATAGTGACCATTAATACCCAGATTAATATAAAAGGTAATTTATCCTTTGGGACAAATGAACAAGAATAAATTGAAAAATTTATATAACACCGTAAATAAACACTTAAAAGTATAAGGAACTATAAATGTGCGAAACTTTTCTACTATCATTCTATTCTTCCTCTTCAGCATTCTTAAGCCAATTAACAAAAACCTCACATTTCTTTTTCACATCACTGGAATCTTTGGCATGATCGTACCATTCGAGAACCGAATCTTCTTCTACATAATCCTTGTCGTAAAAAGCCTTGAAAAGAAGTGGTGCTTTAGGTAAGAGGCTAGTATTACGTTGAGTCATAAATTTTTCCCAAGATCTGAGAAAAATAACTTGGTCTTGACTTGAACGAACGAACTTTGAGGATTAAAAAAAAAAGGTTTTAGAAATGAAATTTTAACTTTAAAATTGAATAATTACATAATGAACATACCGTTTTGAATAATTTTTCCTTGCGAGTAAGATCTTTGTTTACCGTTTCCCATGTCGCATCGTCATACATACTTGGAAGTAATATATTAAATAATTGTGACTTTGATAAATCTTTCCTCGTTTCGATGAGTGTAATTTCTTTAATCTCTTCCGAAATAGGCTTATTTTGTTCCAAAGATTGAGCAAAAAATCGCTTAAGATCCGTGATGAGAACTTCTTCATTAGAACGTTTATCTACAGTCGCCGTATTATCTGTCTTCTTTCTGAATAATCGATAAAACCATGTAATGTAAGTGATAACTCAAATTTAATAAAATATCATATACTCTAAGAAATATGCAATCCCTTAAAAATTTTCTTTTGTTATTTCTCTATCTTTGCTCATATGAGATTTAGATTGCTTATTTCTAGGAGTATATACTAGCATAATATGTATAGAATCCTTGTACATTTTTCCAAGTTGTTCTCGTTCGACATTAGATAACTCAACCACTTGCATCCATGGCTTTTAATATAAATAGAAATTAAAAATTAACAACTTTATGAATAATCATAGTATGAAAAATTCATGGTTGTTTAAATGATTACCTTCTCGTCATCATCAAGTATATCCTTTCCAGTTCGACGTTTAGTGACAGTAATATTTTTATTGAATGAATTTGGATGCACGGACGAATTCTTTTGGTCATTTACTTCCTCATCTTGTGTTTTTAAATCAACATCAGCTTTCTGTTCGGATGCTTTCGACATTTCTTCAGTTTCATCTTCAAATTTCCTTGCTTCGTTATGAGGTTGATCCACTTTTTCAGATTGCGTTCCTTCTGTCCGAGGACTAAACACGACATATTGGATGGAACGACAAATAGTCTTAAAAAAGTATATTAAGATATTAACATTTGATAGGCTCGTTATGCCTGCCATACATCAGACAAATAAAGTATACAATAAAATTGGACTAACTTTTGATGACTTAATAATTCGACATGCAATTTTTTTTTTTTTTTTTTTTTTTTTTTTTTTTTTTTTTTTTTACAATGATAACAATAATAATATATAATAAAAAAAACTACCTGGTTGCCGCCGAGTGAATAGAATCCGAGGCTGATAAAATAGAGATACGGCTAAAAATTCCATTCTGAATTTCAGATCGAAATACACCACCAATACTGGGGTTTGAAGGAAAGATTCTCTTTTCTGATTCATTTTCGTTCGAATTATTTTGGCGATAATGTGGATGCTGATATTTACCATGTGAATGTGGTGGATGTGGTGGATTAGGTTCGGGACTGTCCCGACTATTTTGACCAGTGTTAGGTCTCTCTCTTAATTCATTTTCTCCGTGAGCAAAATTACATTTAGGTCCATACTGACAAAAATTTTCCTTCATAAATCGTTCACATAAACGTGTCTTATACAAAGGATTGTCTGGACCATCTTTTGCAGTCAGAGGTATATCAACCTTTTCCTCACCAGGAGGTCTCTCTCTTAATTCGGCAGTTCCATGAGCAAAGGTACACTTTGACCCGTATGGGCAAAACCTTTCCGTCTCGAAGCGTTCACATAATCGCGTTTTATAAAGAGGATTTTCGAATGGCATCACTGGAGAGTGAAGGGGTGACGAAAAGCCATTTCCATTCTTTTCCGGGCGATTATGTTGTTGACGCTGCTCTCTGCCTAATTGACGACTCATTGCTTGTCGCTGTGAATCTAAAGGTATAGCAAAATTCAAATTTTTCATTTTGCTTTCTAACCTATCGCTATTGATTTGATTTTTTTCAATACGTGATCGCTGTTGAGGTTCCGAATTTTTTGGAGGCTTGTTATTCTCGACAAATGCGAATGCTTGCTTAATAACTTCTTGCATACTCTTATAAAGAACTTTCTCGGCGGCTTGATTAAGAGGTAACCATGCGAAATGGAGACCTTCACCGCTTGTATAAACACGAGCATGATCCGACACTTGGGCAAGATAATAAACAACTCTTTTAGGTCTATAATTAAAAATGAGAAATTTTTAATCGGCTCGTAAGTTACTTTACTGAATCATACTTTTGATTGATAAAAATTTTTATAAAATACCTAGTTCCAGATAGATAAGTAATTTCAGCTCTAAAACCTTCTTCAATTCTTAAATCTTTTACCGAAAGACCAGTGATTTCGATAGTATTACGAAGGGCGCATCTGAATACCGAAAAGTTTAAGCGCATATAAAGTTGTTATATTTATTTATTTTAACAAGTTATTGTTAACAAATTTAAAGCAAATAAATTATATAAAAAAATATATATAATTTCAAAGATCGTACAAACATTAGCAAGATCATAACTTGTAACGATAATCGTGAATAAAAAAACTCACTTTACTTCGTCTTCTTGACGAATTACTTCACCTTTTGGAGCAGTCCAATGTCTTTTATGCGAAAAAGTATCGTTTAACAATAAAAATTCAACTTGTCGTAGTATACGGTATATGAGTATTCCTGTAACATGGAGAGGATGTGACTTGTTCTCGTCCATGAGCAAAGGGAAAGTCGCAATTAATCAGAGTTGTAATTAAATAGTTAAATAACGACGTGGAATGGTATCTTGGTCCCGCAGTCACTTTTATTGCTCCTACTTCAATTTAATAACTTTAATGCTGTCTGATTTAACAATTAAACTTCCACTTGGAAGCTTTAATAATTTAAATTTAGATAGCGAAGGGTTTTTTGATCTTCACTTTTTTTAGGATAGTGTAACTAATTATATGCATGTTATGGATTAATTCCATAGGCTAATACAGTAATATACTGGCATGTGATAACTCGTGTGACTTTACCACATTATTCCGTGATCACGTGAAAAGTAAAAAATCAGTACTACAGTACTATTGTACTACATTAATTATTTGTAAAAAAAGTATATATGTAAACAAAATATTATTACAACATTAGTATAAGAAAAGAAAAAAAGAAAATCTCCCCCCCTCCCTATTATAAATTTTCTATACTATTAATAAATCTCGTTATTTTGAATTGGATTCAAAAATTAATGATGTTCTCAATATTGTCAATGCTGTATATTTGGTACTATTGCACACCTAATCTACTCTAACTTATAATACGTATTCGACATAGATATATATTGTCGACCTTTCTTCTCTAGCATATATATATATTCTATTTCCTCCCTCCATAAGGATCGACATAAACGGCTAATAGATCAACAACCATATAGTATTGTATCAGGTAAATAAGAATAACTAATCCTTAGCACCCACCGTAATATAAAAATTCAGATATGTATAAAGATCATATAAATCATAGCAAAACAATTATAAACAAATTTAGAGAAAAGTGACCTAAAAATTGAAATAACCATATATAACCTTTGAAAATAATAATAATAATAATAATAATAATAATAAAGTAATAAAAGGTGGAGCACCTGTCCCCAAAATCTTACATATTTTTTTTTTAGAAAGCTATAAAAATTACTGTCTGTAAAAGGATCCTGTCCTTTAAAAGGTCTAAATGTACAGGACTTTTAAAAAAAATTTTTTTTTGGGGAGTAAAATAAGAGGTAAAACAAGAGGTAAAGGAGGAAATATAGATAAAACTATTCACAAGAAAAAAAATAATAACAATTTAGCAGAATACGCCCGGCATTTGATAACCTTCTGCAATAAAACAATAAAAATGTTGAAAACATTCAACTCGTGAAAATGTTTATGTAAAAATAAGTAAAAGAAAAAAAAAATAAAAAAAAAATAAAAATAAGAAAAAAAAAAATACAAATTGGTATAATCAATAAGATATAATATCTCAATTTATATAATATCACCAATCATATTCCCTTTTCGACCTGTAGAAACGTAATATAAGTCATCGGTTTAATTCAATCTAATAATTCTCTTAATAAACGCTTACCCTAGCAGCCTTAACTTTATCGAATTCTTTAAGCATCTTGCGTCTAGCTCCAAGTGCTGCAACACCCTTTTTTTCTAGTGAAGAATCATCTAAATCAATAATATCTTGCCATTTCATTCCTTCAAATACAGATGTATATTTATGTAAACGAAGACTACGCAACCAAGCAGGAATATCTGAATTTTAAATAATAAATACATAAAGATTATGACAACATTCGGTAAAAAAATTATATGATAATAAAAGTTGTCAACAAACCTTGTAATAAATTGAAATCAACAGTGTCATCATTTTGTTTCTTTTTATTTTTACCATGACCTTTCGTTGTTGGAGGATTGTTATTATGAGAAGCATCACTATGATCACTGTGATATCCACCATTCTCTTCACCATAAGACCCAGCATTAGGTGGTGTCAGATGAGTATTTTTTCCACCTCCGGTATTTTGATTCCAAGCAGGATATAATCCTGGAGGATTAGGATTAGGAGAAGTTGGACGTGAATTCTGCCTGGCAAGAGATTTTGGACTTGGAATAGGAGAATGTTGAGGTGAGCGCATATTTCCATCAGTATCGTACATAGATAAAACAATATTTGCTTGATTGTTATATTTTTCTTCTTGAACAGTAGCAGGAACACCAGAACTAGATTTTCCATGATTTCGACGGAATTTTTTAACATCACTTTCTAATACAACACGATTACCAGAACTATTACTAACACTCCAATTTGCTAATTTTTTATTAACCATATCTACATCGGCAGTTTGTTTATTTTTATTTTCGGCAAACATCGGAACCACAGGTGTTGATACCATACTAGCCCAACTTCCACCAACAAGAGGTGATAACTCGCCATCAAAAGCATTTGGTCTAGGGGAACGCATAGAATAACTAGCAGGAGACCAAGGAAGAGCACTTAAATCAGCAGATTTTGGTCGACCATTACTTGTTCTATCTTTATTATTATTATTTGAACCAGAGGCAGAACCTGGAGTCCAAACGGACTGATCATTTTCTGCAACCATAGATTTTGGACGAGAAGAATATAAAGAAGTACTACGACTACCAGATTGGTGAAGTCGAGCTCTTTGTTGAGCGAGAGCAGCAGCAGGATCAGAATAAATGGCAGCTTCAGGTGATAAAAATTCTACAGGATGTCGATCATATAAACGACGTGCATATGTCGGACTTGTTGGAGATTTAAGAGCCATACCAGCAAGTTTGGCCTCAACTTCAGCTTTAGCCATAGCACCTGCTAGTTGAGCTTGCATTAGATCTAATATTTCAACGATAAACATTTAAATAAATTTAAATGTAAAAATAATCATTAAATGAAAAAAAAATAATAATAATGAGATAAATAATATTAAAAAAAAACAAAAAACAAAATCACTTTAAAAAATTAATTCAAATGAATTACCCAACGAACCTTTCTCAGGGTTTGCAGGTGACAAGAGAGCACCCATCGGATCATTTCTTGCCATTTGTTGTAAAACAGTTATGAAGAACCTTATTTGTACTTGAGTTGAATGTTGTAATAAACTATACAAAGCAGCAGTTCGTTCAGCTTCAGATAATACCCGAAACCATTGTTCAATGGCGCCAAGTTCTTCTTTAAAATTTTGATCTAGACTAGCGGTTGCCATTTCTTCAAGAGTCTGTTCATAGTGTTGAAGATCTTCAAACCATTTATCAATGGCTTCAGCTGAATTTTTTGATAATGATTGAGTACGTTTATATACTTTTTATAAAAAAAAAAATAAAATAAAATAAACAAAATAAAAATAAAAAAAGGAAAAAAAAAAAAAAAAAAGAAAGAAAAAATAAAATAAAAATCTATAACAAAACGAAAACCCTTCAAGAGTATTAGACCAAACGATCCCAATCTAAAGTGATAAGAAATTATTTACCTTCAGGTGATTGGTAAGTATTATGATTATTAGCGGAGAATATTTCGGAGGTTGGACGGGAGCTTCTATTATTTGTCGGTTGTTGACTTAGGTGAGATAAATCAGCCGACTGGCGGTATTGTTGATTAGATCCCGGCTTTTGTTGAAGATTAAATTGCTCAGACACAGGACGTTGAGTCGTCATGATGGTAACGCAGAATACTTAAAGTTCAACCAGACCACTAGATAAAAAGACTTAACGATCGGTGATAGAGCTTTCTTGTATGAGGAAGAGAGTGGATGGAGAATAGAGGTGGGTAGGATAGGGTAAGGAAGAAAATACCTCTTTGTCACCTTTACTTATTATAGAACCGATGGCAAGTTGAAACAAGAAAACAAAAATATGGATAATATTCATTAGCAGCTAGCTGCGGTGCCAAATGCCGATCGACGAGTATAATCTATAAATAGAGATTAGGTATAATTTTAATTTGCCGTAGCAAAACTATTGCCGCCACAACGGCTTTGACCCGTTATAAGTACAAATCAAGTTATCAACAATACTTTTTTATACGGTAACAGATAAATTAGTTCGTTACTTTAATTTACTCTAACCCACGAGAATCTAAAAATTAAAAGTTAATCGTATCTCAGTATATACTTTCAATTGCGACAATTTCGGAAATTTATTAGTATATAAATTAGTATATATAATTTTATCAAAGGAGAACAAATATGGAGATGGATCATTAGAGAACATTCGATCGTTTTTACTACTGTACCTATATATATTAGATACAATATTATCGGTTAACGTTAATGAAAAGGAAGTATCGTTTGAAAGCTTTATTACAGTATTCTCTTATTATTCTTAATATATACATAGTTATTATTTCATATTATATATTTTTATTGTCACTTAACTACTACTGTAATTATCACTTTAGTATACAAGTTTGATAATGTTACACTTTTAATCATCTATTTAGGGGTAAAAAGCTATTAGTGTTTACATGTAAAAACATGCAAAAAAATGTTCTTTATCACGATTCAGGATTTGTTTACATCGGAAAAAAATCAAATTTTTTTGTTTTTTTTTTTTGTTTTTTTTTCGAGTGGGAAGATGATCAATCTTTATTCTTCAGATGGATCATTTCCTGAATAACGATAGTAATTTATCTATGGAACCGTTAGTCAATCAATAATCAATAATCGCTGAAAATATTGGGGTTGAACCGACTGTAAACAATCAATTAGTGTGCATACAATAACTTAAATGCATGCAAACAGCCCATCAAACAAAGCCTTCAGGAATATCTTATCTACTGCTAATCGTTCAAATCTCTTTGTTCTCATTTTGAACAGGTATCATAAACAATGAAAAAGAAAGTGAATTTTTTCATTTTAATGATCTAAATCTTTCAATTTTAGAATCAAAACATCTTGTAAGTTTGACATTTTGCTTCAAATTTGGTACCGGTAAGATACTACCGTGTAACATAATCAGTTTCAAATTTCAAAAAATATTTATATTTGAATTGAATACATAGATCAAACATTATTAAAATCTCTTAATATGAATTAAAAGATCTTATAGCCTCTTTATAGCGAAATTCCAAATAAAATCTGTATTACATACATGTAAATTGACCTAGTTTCATTATAAGAAGGTTTCGTTATATTATACGTAAAACCTTTTTATATCGAGGTTGTATGTTAATGCAACTTTTTTTTTATTAAAAAAAAAAACTTGCGCTTTGTGCACCTCAAAAGCTGACTTTGTAACACAGTTGCACTACAGCACATTGGTTTCCATGTAATAAAAATAGAATTTGTTAAGGGCTTTATTGATTGCTATATGAACTGGTTCTACTGAGAATTGGCTAAGTCGAGAACGGTACAACCAATCAACAGCCCAGTTTGAGTGATGTGGCGCTGATTTAAAGTCATAATAAAATCCTTTAGCGACTGATCAATATTTCACTAATAATTTTATTGTTTTTACTAATCAATTTCTGGTGATATGTAACAAACCACGATAATTATAACCTTTCCAGGATTAAAATTTCGAGACTTAATAACTGATAAGAATCTTTTTTGATATGTAAATTTTCGTTTTTATAATACAATGGCTTAGCCAACTTTTTAGCGGCTAGTTAAAAAGTAATCAGTTCACTACAGTATAAAAATAGCTCAGCTCAGTCATAGCAAGCCGTACGTGCCGTTTTTGACAGGGTTCTAAATAAGAGTGTATAATATAGTACTGCACGGTATATAATTAAAAAAAAGATAACCTTTAAGAGAATACTTGGGTTAAAATTCTGCGTACATACGTACATAAGTACTTTGTTAACCATACGTGTAAGGATGGCAAAAGATTTTTATTACGTAATTAAAACAAGTGATAACTATTCAGACTTTAATCATCACCTATTTTAAATCGGTGAAACTTTTTTTTTACCATTCCTACATACTAGAGATGCAAATGCCCATGCCGGCATATTTGACATCATAGTGCGACATTACTTGTGAAAAGTAGTGCCTATGCAAGTAGAGGTTATGTATTGCTGCATTATCCAACTCTTATTAATATTCTGATTGGCTAAAATAAGGCTCAACCAATCAGAATTGCAGTTTTTTGATGAAATTTATATTAAAGCTAATACTAGAGTTATTGGATGCGCCTAATACTTAGACCAGATCCTTGTTAGTGGCCAGACCTGTGGACCTGTGCTGTGCCCGTGCCCGATCCTGTTAATAACACGTATTGCTTATAACTATTATTAGAAATCTATTAAAATTTATTAATATATATAGATTTTAATAAATGATTCTAATTATTTCTAAACTTTTACTAAAACGCACCTATAGTGTTTTACACCTATCTACATTATCTCAAAAACTAGCCAATTAATCAGTGCGAGATATTCTAAGTAAAAATTTCTACGCTTCTAAAAACCCTTTCTAAACTCTAACCTAACCCTAACAGCTAATAAATACTACGTATAATGTAAAAAATTTGTTAAAAATTTTATATAAGGTAGAGTCGGGTATTATGGCACACTTAAGAGTTGCACATAAAAAATGAATGAATGAATGGATCGATTAGTTTGATCGACTCAATCCTATTCTTACATGCATGAACTTTTTTGAAGGAGAACGTCAAACTAGTTTCAGATCATCGAGAAATGTACCTCTAAAATAGAAAAGCGTATTTATTTATATACAAATAAATAACATTCGATTTACTATCGAATGATAAAAAAAAATCCAATTAAAAAAAAAACTTCGAAATTTAAATTTTTAAAAAACTGCTCAGTTTTTCAGGTTGGAGACCTGTATTTTTGAATATTTTATTTTTTTTTTAAAAAAAAAATAGCAAAAAAAAATTAAAAATTTTAAAAATTACGGCGCACTATGTATTTCGTATTACTGCATCCTTCTTCCAGATATTGTCTGAATGAGGAAAAATTGAACACGTGAATAGTACATGGACCGTTCAATAATTAGAATCATGCGATTTTATACTGAATCGTCTTAATGAGACGAATCGAATGGTACTAATATGATTTGATTCTGAGTGCTGTTTAACGGGATGTAGTTGAAAAATCTAAGTGCGGCAAAATACCCGACTTTACGTGCGTTTATAATAATTTTGAATTTTTTTTAAAAAAGAATTTTTTGGCCCATCCCCTTCTTTTGCTGTGGGGGCTCCGTATAAATTACAGTATATCAGATATATATATACAGTATATAGGTAAAAAACAATTTACTGAAAGTTTTTTATACTTCGAGTAAGAATATATATCTTGACAACTACTTGACTAAATTTGATATATAAAGCTTTTTTTATTTGAATACTATAGATCTATAGAATTCAAATAAAAAGATTTTTATCAAAATTTAATAAAACCAATTTGCTTGTTTTTTACTGACCATACATCACATATATATACTGTATATTGGTAAATAGATGCAATACTTGATTATAATTATACAGTATTATTAACATGTATACGTATATAATATATTATATAATTTAGATAATATATATATATATATATATATATATATATACTGTATAATAATGAAAAGAATTTTATTGCAAGATTTTATAGAATTTTCGTCTTAAAAATTTTAACCTAGATTTTAGGTTAGGCCAAATAAAATTAATTTTTTGGTTCTCATAACATAAAATTTTTAAAACCCGGCTTTTAATTTTATTTTCAAAAAATTTTAAAAAAGTTCACCCGGATAAATATAGTAAAAAAATTTTGTTGAATTTGACCCGGCCGGGTTATGAGAACCAATTAATTAAGTTTGCATGGCCTTAGGGTTAGGGTGCTAAACTCAAAACATTTAACAAACACTAATTACTAAAGCCATTTTGAAAATTACGTAGAATGCCCATTGAATTTCACCTCCGATGAGTATTAAATTTTAAAATTTACCCTAGTGGTTGTTGAAATATCTTCGTTCAAAGTTTGATCAATTTTTTCTTTTTTCGCAGATCCGGAATAACTGCCAGTTTTTTTTTTTTTTGGAAGCTTGTATTACCGGACAAAAAATAAGTAAAAATTTACCTCGTGATCTTCGTGACACTGTATTTTCGTATCGTATAATTCTCTTACATTAAAAGTTGAGATTAAAAAACGGTAAATTTTGTAAAATGTCGGATCTAGAAAGTCACGAAGAAGTATCCGAACAAATAGAAAATTTCAGCAAAGATGAAGTGGAATTGAAACTAGGCAATACTTTTAGTAACACAAAGGATTTATCGTTAGATTTATCTTATCGCAGACTTGTTTGTAAGAGGTTTCACGTTATATTTTAAATTATACAAATTTTGATACATTGATTCAATTTTATTATTATTTCATTAGTCGATAATGATGATGATCACAATAAGATAGATTTTTCAAAACCTGCAGAGATGGAACTAAGTCATAGCGAAGAAAGTTTTAAAGTTTCCTTCGGAGGAAAGGTGGCTAGTACTTGTTTTTTGGGTGTTTGCGTTATATGGTTTGCTTTTATTTCCATTTTAAACTTTCACAACTTAATCGTAAATTTGTTGGTTTACTATCATAGGATGATGAAATACATATATTAGCAGGCATACGATACGAAAATAATAAAGAGGGTGTAGATGAAGACTCTCAAAGACAATGCCTATTGATTTATGACGAAAATACACATGTTCGCACAAATTCATTAAATTCTTCAATCCTTACTTTTTAGATAAGATCTAATTGCTATATATTTTCCTAAATCGTGCAGACGTGGACTTTAGAATGCATTGATTATAATTATAATGTTGGTCCAGACGGTGATTACGGGTCTGATATTGACCTTGATGATTTTGAACGTCATTTTGAGACGTCGATGAAATATGATGATGATATTGAACGTCAGTTTGAAACTTCGATGAAAGATGAATTTGCTGAAGAATTTGATGCAAATGCCGAAGATATTGAAGATGAATTCATAGAAGGGTATAATGGAAATGGTATAACGAATGGAATACATGATGATAATGGGTACGAAGGAGGAAATAGTGATGATGAAGTTATGGAAGATGATGCTTTTGTGGAAGTTGAAAACCCATTACAACCTTATCCTCCTGGTGTCAACAACGTAAATGACGAAGAGATAATAAAAAATGATTCTGAATCATCAGATTCTTCTTCATCTGGAAGTAGCTCGTCTTCCGCATCAGGATCTGAATCAGGAGATGAAGACGGATCAGATTCTGGCTCGGAATTAGGTTCAGATCTCGGTGACTTGGAGGCTTCTTTAGAAGCACAATTAACTGAAGCACCCAATAATGACACTGTGAAAACGAATGGAGTAAATCGAAAGACAAATCCTTCAGTAAGCACTGATAAACCTTATCAAAGTTTACCTAATAGTTTTATAATTTTGGTCATTTATATGTTTTTTCTATGTCAACACAGACCGGCAGACCAGAAGGACCTATATCATTGGCTGAATTATTTGGTGGAACAGGTTCGATAGAAAATTTTCATTTGATACTATATTATGTAACTATTTAAAAATTTTGTGATTATTTAATGCATATATTAAATTAGGCAACGAAAATGATGATGATGAAAGTGGTTCATCATCGGCAAGTGATTGATAAAATGGATGTCAATTTTGTTATCCGAAGGACACTATAGACGGAACAATTGTGCACCAGAATGTTCGTGTGTTAACAAATTCTGAATTTAGATTGGCTACCTATAATATAGATGATTTTTCTCAGTTTTAGTAGGTCATCGGAAAGTTAACAATCACATGCATAAAGGTTGTCACGCAGATAAGGGGGTAGCTGAAAATTTTTATATGTAAATTTGTGAAAAAATACTTTTCTATTTTTATTTAATAGAAGTTATTGTTTTTATTTGAAGAACTAAGCTATTACTTTTAGCTTTCGAACAGTGGTCAGAAATAAAATAATAATAATTTAAGTTTTGAAGTCAATTTTTTATTCTTTATATTTTAATAATTAGAGTTGTTATTGAATTTATTTTAGCTTTTTATAAATTGTTAAATTAGACTTTTTTATATATTTAATTTTTTTTAGTTTAATATATTTTTAAATGTAAATAGTTTTTGATTTACTAGTTTATTTTCAAATAGTTTATTACCAAAATTGTAATAATATAAAATTTAAAATTATTAAAATTTTAGTTACAAAAATTATATAAAAAAAATTTAAATATATTTGTATTATATGTGGTGTGTTTTTTATATATTAATACTGTAGCTAACAAGTAAAATAAAACAAAAATTAATATTAGTATTAGAGTTAAGATTAAAATAAAATTGCAAAAAAAAATATTTTTTTGTTAATTGTATAACAGAAGTTATTTTAATAAAATAATAAGATTTTTTTTTTATTTAGCAATCTTGTTTTTATTATTTACAAATTAAAAAACATATAGCTATCCCTTAAATTGTAATGCAGGCAAATTTGCCTGCGAAGATTTTTACTAATTTTTTTAATATTTAAATTTTTTAAT